ATATATATATATATATATATATATATATATATAGCTCGGATACAATTGTGTTCATATTGTCTATGTTATGGAGTTCAGGGCATTCCTTCCCACTTATTTCGTGTTGGAATCGAGGAGTCAGTGGAGTGGTACTGGGAAGGAGGAACTTATGCTGGACGTTATGCAGTATAAGGGTCAGCCATACACTCAGATAGTAATGACAGGGTTGTGAATTTGAATTCGTATTTGTCCGAACGATTTGACCGGAATTCGCAAAATTCAAAAGCCGTCAGCTCATTGGCTTGTGTCTCAAACCCAGGTTGTTCGGAATTCTCATTTTCGCTTTGCAAGCGTGTGTTTAGCCAGCTTTACTTCCGCATAAGTGTTTGGGGCGCATACAGTCTTTTCGGTGATGGTTAAGTCAACAAAGGCTAGTAGAAGCCTTTGCCACTCTGGTATATTCTGTTTTGTGAAAGAGACCTCCGAATCGTTCCGTTTATTATTCCGAGAATTTCAGCACCACTTAATATTTACCACGTACGAGCTCTTGGTCACTCAATTGTGAAGACTCGTTCACTATGGCGGAATCTGTTAGTTTGTCTTGACATTACTTCCACCTCAGAATGGTGAGCTTGACAAGATGTTATCCCTCGTGTTTCCACCGAACTGCATGGTGGCTGTGCTAAATAACAGGAAGCTGGCGTTTGATTACACAGTACATTTTACTGTTCTGTCGTCTGTATCAAGTCAGATGCACGGTCCCTCTACGCGATATTCCTCAGGGATTGTCTATGGGTTGCTCCACGACTGTGTCGCACAGATTGAATCTCTTATTACAATCACATACATTCATCCATATTTTTGTTCCTGACCAGATATCTACAAGCTTCAGCACGAAAAGTACTACCTCAGTATGTACCGGTTATCACAGTACCAGGTCAACCGTCCTAGTTAGGTCTGCAGGATGCTGGAGAAGCTGCTTCTACTAGAATCCTAAAGTGATCCTGCCTTTCGCATCCTACCTCAAGATAATGCATGAGTGATGTTTCGCCTCTAAGTCCTCCGTAGTACTGGACTTCACTAGAAAAGGAAAGCTATTCTGGTGCCCAACAAAGCACATCAGCAGGGGTTGAAGTAATGTGGCTTCGGCAGCCAGTTTGTTACCTTCTCCGTAGTCTATAAATGTGGCCTCACGTTATGCCATTGTGCCTCATCTATTCGTATAATAGTTGGGGACACTCCTGTCTCGTCTTTATCCTGCCATTATCCTGTATGTGGAAACCAATCCACTTTGCTGTGCTTTCGGATGTCGCACACTTAGGCCTTCATACAGTATTTATGGGCTTTTTACCAACCTACGTGAATTGATTCAGGTGGTGTTTTTGCAGTGACCGGTCGATAAAAATTACCAGATAGGCGCTATTTCATTTCTGGCTTTGGAAAAGTCAACGACGTACAAAAAGTGCAAAATAGGATTTAGGCTGTTAGCCCTGAGTCCGCTGGCATCACAAATATTCGTCCTGTGCGTTTGGACTTCAATCCGTACTTGTATCACGAAACCCCTTATCGTGATAAAGTCAACCTTACCGCCATAGAATACTTTCTCTGTATTTTAAAATAACAGAAGCTATGTTTTCGTCACTGTGGGTTTGTCTGATACTTTGGAAAAGTTGATTCGTCACATGGTTAAATGGAAATAACAACTTACGGACTCGTGTTTGGGTTCAAAGCTAACAATGATGGGCAACATCTTGACATTTGCAGAATCGCACTAATCTGCGCTCAACAGTTTATAGTTCTTACATACATGCTTCGCCTTTGTTCCTGCCTGCACAGGGATGGATACGAGTGATCAGAGTTTTTTTGGAGAAAGATGGCCTTTCGTAACCCGTAATCCGTGCTTCTTGGATGACCTGTTGATATTCGAACAATGAACCGATCTGTTTTGTTGGTCCTGATCACGCCTCAGTTAGTAGATTCATTGCAGGTTCTGGTACTGCTGAATGCTCGCAATACACCAGAACTTGTGTCACGTGTCTCAACCTGTTTGTTAATCAGGTCAGTGTTTCTGACCCAACCCAGTTTTATCTAAGAAACACATCACAAAGTTTTCTACGCCCTCGTTCCGTCAACCCACTTTAATGGTTCACTCCCACAACAAGTCATCCTTCGTCCCACGTGTCCTTGTGTGACCCCAAACTAACCTTGTGAGTCGCAACGCTGTCTAGCCTATCCACCTTACCATCACTGATATCGATGTTTTTGACAAGCCAGTTTCAACGAACAAATGGTGACTTGTTTGCATTAGTCAGCCTTTTTACGGTTTCCATTACTGCGTGGCCGGTGCAAGCACTGGTTTTGGAAGGTCACCACACGCGGTAGCTTACCAGAATGTCGATATTTCCTCTCCAAATACTGAGTTGTTCTATTTATGCAATGGTTGCAAATAATAGACACTGTTCCCGGAGTGTTTATTACTCTTCACAAGCCGGTATCCATCCAACTGCTTGCGAACAATGCCTATTATATTTCCTTATTCATCGGAGGTAGTCCCCATCTCTCAATGGTTACTTGTTCATGTAGTGTGCTTCACCACGTGGAGGTGTGCTCGAGGAAAGTTATTAGCATGGTTATGCGCGTGTGCATGTTCGTTTCATTAGAATATGAGCGTGTGGGGTTACTCATTCGTGAGTGAATGAAGGGGTTGTACGCACGGCTGGTCATGGTGATGACATCTCGGTACTGTGTATAGGATGGTCTGTGGCTCGAGCAGCCGGCTCGATGTCTACGTCAGTAGTGACATCGATCACGACTGACTGCCTGGTTCAGTTACCAATCGCCGGTGGTTATGTTGCCACCATCACCAACACAACCACCAACTGTATGTGTGTGTGATGTCATTTGCATGTGTGTTAGCGGGTTAATCGAGCGAATTGCCGGCCGATCAATAAGTCAATGTTCACACTGTGCTTGCGCACATAGCACGCACGCACGCTTGCTCGCCTCCTCTCTTGTGTCATCTCTCTCTTCAACTCACTCTGTCGCATTTTCCTCCATCCTCTTATTTTGTGCCTCAGTTTCAGGATATTAGCTAATATCCAACCGATATCTGGTCAAACTGGATTATTAGTCTCTCGTTCCTATGTTATCCAATGCTCACCCATAAAACAGAAGTTTGTTACGGCCTTGTCACTTCCAAAAAATGTTTTTTGAAAACAGCCTTGGACGGGATTTCGTCCTTTCTGCTTAGGTTGTTATTCAGGGTTATGTATATCCCCTCATTTGGAACCAGTTCAAATCTGTGCCCCTTGGGTATCTGGACCCACACAATAAGCTCATTAGCTGAGCTGACAGGCAAAGGCTTGGGGGGGGGAATCAGTTAAGGGCATGTATGAAGTTCAGCAGCGTCCATTGTAGCTCACTTGGCAAAGTACTTGCCGGTCAAGTTGGAGGTCGCGGGTTCGTGTTTCACCCATAGAAGTCTGCCCTCTCACTATATTCAGATCATATGCATCCCCTATCCTCTACTTCTAGAAGAATCATGGTGGCAGTGAGATTTGGCTGGAGGATAGATGAACCTCTTTTTTAAAATTTTGGTTTAAAAATCCCACTCTTTCATTTCTGTACACATGTACAGGGTCCAGTCAACCAAAGATGATTTTGCATAACTCAAGGACATTCCTATTTTAGTCCAAGTTATCTCCACATGGATCACTTGAAAGGAGATGGCCCATAAATTTAACTATGGCGATCAGAAACGAAGACTAGCTAAAAGTGACTAGGCGCGATTTGATTTGCATGAGCTTGTTGAAGGTTTGTCTGACGGGGACTGTCGTTTTGGATTCACTTGGATGGAGGGATATTTTTCCTTCAAGTTCCGGGGTGATCAGTCGAGTTGGTTCTGCGCTATGTTAATCTCCGTAGTTCGAAATTTCGCCTGACCATATACTTTACATGACCGAGGCTGATTGTGCATTGCACTATGGCCAATGCTTTGTTCTCTTCTGTTCGTGC